ATGTACACTCATCTAAAAATCTCTCTGAAATGACCCAAAGGCTATAAAGGTTGGAAAGCCCGTGCTTTCATAAGCCTATCGATCCCTTACAGTAAAAGGCTACCAATTTTCACTATGCCCATAGAGGATGCGGTCAGATGGGAGAGGGACTTGATGCTTTCATTCAAAGCAGCCTCTTCACTGAGCAAAAATCAAGTACAATCAAACTAGCACTGAAAATGGAAAGTGACAGTAAGTCAATGAAATGTATATTTTGATGAGCGGCTGTACTCTGAAAAGAGACCATGTAAAAATGACTGTGAGCTTCCAGGTTTATTGGCGCTCAATTATTCCCACAGCAAATGTGCTTTGCTGCCAAGTAAAAACTGCAGGCTTTTTCTGTTAGCTCACCCTTCAAATGCAACTTGAGATGTAAGAGCTAGGGTACGTCTACACAGCAGCGTTATTTCATGATAACATAGTCTGCGTCTACAGTACAAGCAGTGATTTTGACATTTGACATTATTTGAGCTCGAGGCCATCTTACTCCAACTCCTGTAACCCTCGTTTCACGAGGAGCAAGAGAAGTTGGAGGAAGAGTGTTCTTCCTCGGACTTCCTGCTGTGTAAACAGCGCCACAAGCTGAAATAAGCTATTTCGACTTAAGCGATGCAATTGATGGAGCTGTATCTCGGCTTTAGCCTTGCTGTTACACATGCCCTTAGGCTGGCTCATGTATCACCACCAGTAAATTCTGTCCTTAGCAACACCTGTGTCAACCTATTGTCTTACTGACGGGGACTTGAATACACAATTCTCTTAGGGTACGTGTACACTGCACACTTATTTTGAAATAGGCTATTCCAGAATAGTTATTCCAAAGTAGCTTCTTTCGAAATAGCACGTCTACATTTGGGAGGCCTTCCTCGGACTCGTTTTGAGGCTTCCCTGCAGTGTAGAAGTGCTATCTCGATTTAGAGCCCCAGGAGGCACTGGGAAGGAATAAGTCAGAATGGCCCTGGGGAGGGGCTATTTTGAAATAGCTGTAGTGGAGCAGCTACACACGCCTTATTTTGAAATAACTATTTTGGAATAGGCGTTATTCCTCAGAATGAGGTTCTCAGTACTAACTCTTCAGGGCTAATGGAATGAACAGCAGCAAACACTTAGGCTTTGTCTACACTGGAGGTGCTGTACCAGTTTAAAATCAGATTTAGTTAAAACAGTGCAACTCACTCTTCTATTAGTTTACATCTGGTTAGACTGGCTTCGCTCACACCTATACATTTTAGTGGTGCAAATGTCACCAGTAAGCCAGGTTTAAATTGACTTAAGAATTAGGAATGCTAAATTTCAGTTAATTGACTAGTCGTTTAACCTCATGAATTCTTAGCAGATATTCGACTATTCTATAGTCCCCGGGGGTGGGGCCGGCAGCCATTGCACTCTGGCTCCTCTCCCGAGGAGCCCCCTGCCACTCTGTGCTGCTGCCTCGGATACAGAGGCAGCAGCCCGGGGTGGCAGCAGCTCCTATCATGGGGGGCGGGGAGTGGCGAGCTCCTGGATCTGGCGCAAGTAGGAACTGATCTGGGCTGCCCGCCTCCCTACCTCCTAATACATTTAAATGCAAAGCCGCAGTGGGGTAGGTCCCAGACGTAGTGCGAGGCAAGACTGAGCTAGGCAGCTGGCCAGCCTGCTAAAAAATGTACTGCTGGCTGGGGAGGAAATGTGTGGAATCCATAGCATTAACCTATACGCCTATGCTTATCAGTTAGTCGATTGATCAACTACACTATTACATCCCTATTAAGAATGCCCCAACACAACGTTGCACTAGTTTAACTAACTTGGTTTAGAGTCCCACCAGTACTCAGAATGATGTAGCCTCAGGCTTACTTTTAATTCCTAAAGCCTGACGGTTGAACAAGAACATCCTCTTGCTCCACCAACGGGCCTCTCTGCGTCGAGTCGCTGGCATAAGAAATACAAGCCAAGTCACATACCAGTAGTCTGTCCCTGTTTAATCTCTTCCGCAGTCCGGTCTATGAGGACGTACAGAGACCACACCACGCAGGTGATGGCGATGATATGGAATGTTACAGAGCACATGATCTTCCTCCTCTCACTGGCCGTCATCTGCAACTTCTCCCACTAGCAAGAAATCCAGAAAGCAGAGCAAAGGTTAGAGGCTGAAAGCAACACTGGGGGACACACTGGACAGAAGCTGCTTTCCACACAGAAGCAATTTCTTTTTAGAGGTCGCGACGTGATGTAGTTGCTTCAACCTACTAGCCCACGTACTAGGATCCATGTCCAAGCAGTGGTGGCCCTCGGGGTTCTCCCTTGTGGCTTTTGGCCCCAATCAGCCGGCGGAGGGGCAGATCTTTAATGATCAATCTCTTTGCTGGGCACGAGGGAGCTGCTCATGCCTTATTTACCTGCACACACTCGGCTTGTGGCAGTGTCGGGCAGCCAAAACGAAGCATGCTGACCGAGAAGTGGAGGGCAACAGCAAGCGTGCCTGGTAAAATGGTTCAAGTGCTCGGAAAGGTTTGGCATCCCTCACACAAACACGCAGCTATAAAAATGAATGGCTGAGCCGCCGGTCAATGTTGTCTCTGAACCCAAGCTACAGAAGGGCCGAGTATGTTACAGCCCCCTTGTTGAGTCTGACCTGAATACACGATGTGGGAGCTGATGCTTTTCGATCTAGACGTCGTCAGTTTGATCCCTGCTGCGTGCGCTACGTTATTTGATCAAACAAGGAAAGTTGCCACCTGTGTTTTATATTCAAGCGTATTAATGTGGAAGCACATTTCCTCTACGAATAACCGGTACAGACAAATAGATGAAGTACCACCTGAAATCCCCAGATTACTGATCTGTCAATGAATCTCTTATAGGCCCATCAGAAACCACAACATTCTGGCCATTACTAAGCAGGAAGGATGCAGAAAAATTAAGACAATTTTACAGATCTTTACCAGCTACTGGGAATCACTCGAAAAAAGGCTTTTATTTTTGATGCATTTGAAAATGGGTTTTGCATTTCAGTCTCATAAATCCTGCACACACTTTCTCTATGTACACTGCGGGCCTTGGTCTGGTCCCCGTTACAGCTCTGCAAGCCCAATGGGTTGCGTCTGACAATGTCGTTTGGCCTCCAGAGCTTTTTCAGAAAAGGAAGAGTAATACAGTATGAATCCAGCAAGGAAAACCCATTGGCCCAATGCATCTGAGCAGCGGAACCAAGAACCTACATTCCACAGGAGACGCAGGAATGGAGCATCATGGGAGATGTAGTCCAGTTAGGAAGCCCAACCCACAGAAGAGAATAAGGAGCTCCCAACTACACCTCCCATGGGGCACCTTGGCAGCATTTCCAAATCAAAATATTCTGATGTTTGGCTAAACTACTTCAGGTTCCGAAATTCTCCCAAAAATCCATGTTTTCCTGTGGACTTGCAGTGACATCTGGGATGGTAAGGTTGGTTCTTATACTAAATAGCAAGCAGCTATGTTACTGCTTGGCCTTTTCTTGTTCACAGTGCCCAGCTACAGGCTGCTTTCTTCCGACTGACAGGATACGATATGGGGAGTTGAGAACGAGGTGTCAATTTGCTTGCAATTTTAACCTGAAGACTGACTAGCTTCTGTTTTGAAGGACTAGTTCCATTTTGTTAGTGGGGTTCCCCTGTTTATGGTTCTGTCCCAATTATTTCCGGTGCTTGGCTTCTCCGCAATAGATTAATTTTTCAGAAATGACTGGATTTGGGGTGCTTTCCTTTTTTGGGTGCCCCAGGAGGTAGGCCTCACCGGGACCAGACGTTAAGAACAATGGTGAGCATCCATTCAACGAGTTCCAAATTGGGCACCAAACCACTCGCCAGTACATTCATTTAGGCGATTGTGTTTTTACCTGCTTTTTTCCCCTCCCCTTTTTGATTCTTCTCTTTGGGGCCCTATGTCAGGGATGACCAAAGTGTGACCTGCCGGCTCAGCAGCGTCCCGGATGAGCTACAATGCAGCTCAGAGCTCACTTTCTCTGTAACAAGGAGGTGCGGCTGATGGAAATGAGAAGTCCCCTCCACTCGGGTCTCCTTTGTGATCTGAGACGTCCATGATCACAACAGCATCATGCTGATGTATTTTGCAAACTGCACTTCTGTATTAAAGATGAAGGCGGCTGAACTTTGCTCCATTTTCTGCACATTGGTGCGGACTTTGGGATGCTGGCCAACAGGGCCCCCTCTGTCTCAGGTACCACAGCCCCTTAAACAGCCCCTCTATCCCAGGCCATGCCCCTCACTACACTCTGTCCCCCCACACGCCCTCCCCCATTCTACCTCTCTCCCCAAGCCCCCACCCCTCCTTGCCTGAGCAATGCCGAGTTTTCAGCACTGCTGCCGGCTCCCATGCTGCCCAAGCCCCCTGCCCTCTGAAGCAGAGGCAGGGCAGAGTGGAAGAGGGCTGCCCAGACTTTGCAACCCCTGCAGGTGCAATTTGCTAGGGCTCATATTTCCTGTCCAGAAGTCCTGATGGTGAGCACCAGCTGCCCTTGAAAGACAGAGGTATCTGCGGGAGGAACATGGACACCAGAGAACAATGGACACATCCCTTGTGCTGTAAGGTAGGTCAGTGGGTGCAGAGATGGCAGACGTCCTTTAAGAACAGTACTGGAAGTAGTAAAATATATCTGTGTATGATCAGTACCCCTCACCCCAACCCCAAAATGTGTTTCTGGGTAAATTTTATTGCACTGTAAATGAGATTTTTGGTTTAGAAAATTCTTTCATTATTATTTTTTTTACGTAACCAAACTTCAGTGGAATCATTTTACAAATATGAAAACTTCATAGCCTAAAATTCCCAAATTTTCAAGAAAATTTGTGAACTGCATGGATAACAGTACAGCCAAATCTTCAGTGCTTTCGAGCAGGTCTCGGCTCTGAAAGGTGACTAGAACAATGGTCGGGCCTAACGAATCAGAGCTGTAGCTGCTGACTATAATAAACCTTGACTCCTGTTTGCCCTGCGGAGCTAACACAGGCACTGGTGAGGGAAACTGATTCTTTTCCGGGTTGGGCAGCATCAACAGGATTGTCAATTAAGCTCTGACAGCAGATTTGTTATTACTGGTGATGCATGAAACCAGAAAGAATCCACATTAGCTCTCAGACCCCAGGATCCACTTGCAGGCAGAAAATAGCGATTTATTGACAAGATTGAGCAATCTGGATATGGACTCACTTATCGGAGCAGCCTTGCTTCCATAAAGGCAGCTTTGGAACCAGCTTCCAACCTACCTTTCGTAAAGGCTTTAATTTGGTCTCCATGATGAACTCGTACTTGCAGAGTTCACAGCATCGGGTGTCGGAGCTCTTGATCCACTGCTGCAGGCAGGCTTGGTGCACAAAATGGAGGCTTCCTGTGCAGTGACAGGGGGTAATCAGGGGGCTCTCATCATCTCCCTCACAGTGACAGATCCTGTAGCAGAAGCAAAGCAGCCCATTAGGAGACCGCAGCGGTGACGAGGAAAAACCAAACCTGCGGAGAGGAGGCTTTTAACATCTGCGATCAGGCATGGTCAACCAATGCAGATCCCAAACAACATCCATGTCAAAAAAGAAATTAATCAACAAGCAAAACCAACTAAGGAAAGAAAATACAACGCACACTACTTGAGCACAAACACGGCTAGCTACACAACTTCTCTCTAGCTGGCTGGGCAGACACACAAGGTCTGAAAGAGACTTGGTAATGAAAAGAGAAAGAACAGGGGTAAGAAATTACACACACGGCGTCTTGTCTACCAGAACAATAGTACTTTACTGCGAGTGGCATTTAAGCAGCATGGACCACACTTCCCAGGACAGAGCGTGCTCACAGAGGTGAAAACCTAACTGTGGTTTGCAATTAAAAAAAAAAACCCACCACACATACAAACTCCGCAAGAATATGAAGGGCTAACCTGGGAGGCCTGGCTCTTGCATTCTGGGGAGGGTTATTGCTGGTACAAGTTACTAAGAGATTGACTCTGGCAGCAAAGCTCCGGTCTGACAATTTCCGAAGCTGGGAATGTTTGGAAACGCTGCCCCATCTCACTTCCTCAGTAACGGCTGCTGCTGACAGCTACGGCAAGGTTCCCCCTATTCCCTACGCATCAACCTGGCAGGCTCCGATAGCTCCCAATCAATATGGGTTGCCACTCCAAGGTACAGCAG